CCCCGACCGGCCCTTGTAGCTTTCGTCGTTTTCGACAAGGCTGTAGTTGTGGCATCCATCGGCAACCCTCCGGAATCACCAGACGCTCAGCTCCAAGAAGATAACCACATTATTCCTCCCACCTACGAAGATGTCATCACTCTTTCGGACAACAATCAGCCAGAGATCTTGGGATCTGGCTTTGAAGAGCCTCAGACCGCTAATACTGGTCATGAGGAGTCAAGAAGCCGCCAGAAGACGAAGAACCCAGCAGTCGTTCTCATGGTCCGCGGTACTGGTATCGTGCGACTCACAACAACAGATATAGACAAATTTGGCAGTGACCAACCTCCCAAAGTCACGCCAAAGAGCAAGCTAGAGCAAGCTGTCTTTTTTGGGAACAAGCAAGATACCCCATTGATTTTCGACGGAAGGAAAGGGGTGCAATTTTCGGATGAGGAGGTGTCTGAAGCTGCGTTGCAACTCAGCCACGAGATCATGAGTTCAGCGACATCGCACATTTCAAGTCTGCCCGCATCTTTGGAAGACAATCTTAGCACTCGCTGTCAGGCCCTCGATCGGTTGATGTCTCACCTCAAGATAACAAAGGTCAAGCTGGACCGTCGTACCCGCTGGCTTCTACTCTCGCATGCCGAGAAGATGATGGTGGCAACAGTTCTGTGGAAGCGTCACGAGGCTTTTACGAACGAGCGACCTGCGAACGACAAGAAGGACCTGATTGCTGAGATTGTCGAGTTCATTCACCAAGACGAAAAGACGAACCCGAACCGCAGCGCAGGGGAAGTCGATCGCGTCAGGCACTGGTTCGTGCATGACGTTGGCAAGCTCGAGATCTTTATCGCGTGGGCCTATGAAGTGATCAAGTACATGTACAAAGACCACATCATGGACGATGCTAAAATCACTCGGCTCATGTACGAGGCCCAGCAAGTGAATCTGGTCGCTCTCATGACGGCGCTCGAGTACCGGCAAAAGAAGCTCTCATTCTACGGACTCGAAGACGAAGAGCTGCAATTCGGCATCTTGCGCGACAATTACGATGGTCTCGCTGAACCCTGGACCGGATGTCACTACATTTGCAACAACTTGAAGCGGCTTCTTGAGCTCAGTCACACGTGGCTTGATCAATACTACCCTCCCAAGGAGAAGACCAAGGACAAGACGAAGCAGCCGGATCCTGCGCTCCTGGAGAAGATCAACTCAGAAATTGCCAATCTGAGCGATCTGTACCTCGTGTCATTGCTCGAGGCATCTCGATGGAATGCTGTACAACAAGACGCAAAGGCGCAGAAGTGGTCAGAGCATCTCTCCAAGCTCTACGATTCGGACCGAAACGACAAGGTTCTCTCCCTTCTCCGTCTCGGCAAGTGGGATGAGAGTATCAACATTGCCGAGAAGCACCGGTGCTGGAGAGCCCTTGCTTTGGCTATGATCGAACAGATCAACAGTCTCAGAAGTGAAGCGACAGTGTCAAGATCACAAGTCGATGCTCGCGAACTCACTAAGCAAGCGGAGCTGAAAGAGAAGCAAATTGGTGTGTACTTTGACAAGTATGGCGAGGCCTTTGCGTTCCCCACGTACGACATTCTGCTCGACAATGCTGGTGTCCAGGCCGTATTGGACTTCAGTCACGACAACCATGGATACAGAACAAATTTCCTACGCACCAAACCTGAACTCGCCAAGATTTCGTGGATCAACGACATCCAGCGTGAGCGTGACATTGGGCATGCGGCGGAGACTCTTTTCGACCTCGGTATTACCCGTGAGCAGCAGGTCTGGAACAAGAAGATTGAACTTAGTCTTGGAAAGCTAGCTTTGCTAGCTGAATCTGAGAAGCCTGCCCCATCCGATCTCTTCGGCTTCAAGCAAGCCAACGTCGAGGTTGAGGGAACATCCGACGAGAAGATTGAGATCATCGACGATCAACTTCATCTCATCAAAATTCAGGATCAGCTCTACGCCCAGATCTTCCCTTCTGTTCAGATGGCTGTAGATGAAAGCGCTGAACTGCAACTTGCCATGGAAAATCACTGTCTTCACATCCCAAAGAAACAAAAGGCATTGATCCAAGTCTTCGAGAGCAGCATGAGAAGGCTCCTTAAGCACGAGGCTCTTGATGCCATGTCTCTCATTGACCTACTCACTCTCGTTCATCTGCCGGGTGAGACGGCCGCCGACATTGATGATCCCTTCTATCTGGCTCTGGAGGCTGCTTCACTGGGACTCAAGGGCGAGGAGTCGAAGATGGCCAAGCGTTTGATCTGGAGACGCTGCTTCATCCGCGATGATTGGACAAAGCTCAACGATACGCAGTTGAAGGACGATTCGTTCGTTGGAGAGAAGTTAACCAGGACTACGCTCTTCAGTGCTTTCATTTCCTGCTACCAAAAACGTGGGTACCACCAAGTCGCTCTCACGAAGCCAGTTGCTAACTACCAAACAGAGAGAATTGACGAGCCTTTCCAACCAACGAGGCCTTCCGACGCGTTGGGAGCATTCGTGGACGACCTCGACGCCCGCTGGGCTAGCTGGGAAAAGTCTTACCGGGATAAGCTCCTGGATGCAATGAAGTGGGAAGACTCGGTACTGCGCAAATACATCGACAAGGCACGTCTGGAGGAATGGACTCGCACAACGGCCGAGTCTGCCGAGACGTTAGTTGCGGATAGTGTGGATGAGGCTACTCGGGCTGCCACGGAGGACATTCCGGACCTGCAGACGAATGGTAAGGCGAACGGTCTGCATTAGGATGTGGGGGCATTTCGGCAACAAGATGGTGTTCTCTACTCGTCTGGATCGAGCCTCTCGTCAAAGAACTCCAAGTTCGGCGCCGGGTGGGGGTCCTTATTCTGAGTCTAGATTCCAGGGAAGTCACGGGGTCATGCAGCATCCCTCATACACGAGGATCATTTCTTTAGTACTGGGGACTTTTGGGAAGTCTGGTTCTGGGTGTAACTTTAACAGCTCTCGACGAGGCTGAGGCATTGGTGTTTTTTGACTTTCCTTTTCATGAGCCTTAACAGATGTGCCACGGCACCAAGGCTCCCCTTTATTCTTCTACACATCAATAACGAATTGGGAAAGGCATGAGAGAGGCGGGACATAAAAAAAGAAAGAGGTTGATGCAGACAGAAGCTGCCAGCAAGCAACACGACGATTCAGATTACAGATAAAATACACGATTAGGGAGGGCCTGCCACTCTTATTTCGATATGTTGTTCCTCCATCATGACTTTTGCAATGCTAGTGAATTGGCCTTTGCCATGAAACTTTGGCACAGGTGTGAGGTTTTTGAGAAGTTCTGGCTTTGTCATGACAGCAATCTGTTCCGAGATGCCGTGCTCTGGTGATAGCTGCAAAGCGAGAGGGTGCGTGATCGGACTTGGCACTAGTATTGGGTAGAGCTTTTCCTCGAGCATTTGTGATAAGAATAAACACTATACAACATGTTTCAAAGCTCCGTGAATTTACAATCTCAGAGAGATATCGTTCAATCTATCCAGTACTTTACTCTATACTGGTGCACGAGACACTTGATTGCGTTTCCACGATGATGTATTTTCGTTGTCCCATGCTACTATTATTCTTCTTCCCTGTTTTTCTCCCTCTTCGTTTCCTTTTTTTTTTTTTTTCATCCTTTCTCTGACTCTTTGAAAGCAGGCGTTTCACATAGTCGCCGACGTCGTCGTCAAAACGCACGTATACATATAACTCCCGCGACATATCGCGTGGTGTATAAACTACACATTCGCCACCCGCTCGGCGCGCGACGCCCGGCGGTGCCCCAACTTACACGGACAAAGAGTGCAACATCGGAGACAAAGCAGAGCAAAGCAAAACAACGCGGCGTACGACGACGACGACGACGACGACGACGACACGCGCGACGCGCCCGCCTCTTCCCGTCTACTCTAGGTGATACGCTCCCGGAGTCTCTTTCTCTTATTCTCCTTCCCGTGTAACCGGGAGACCACTGGGAGAGGAAGCACTGGCCAAGGCGGGGGGAAAGTTTTGCCAGAATTTGAGCCACGCCGATCCACGGCCTCGTGTGGAAAAAGGTCTCCAAAGAAAGAGGCGACGTAAGGTACTCCCACTCTGCACAGGGATCCTGCTTTTCCAAATTTACAGCAAGCTATCCACGGCATCCACGGCGATCAATCCATAGGTATGCCGATCAACCACCTCACCTATTACAATCCCACCTAAACAGCTTTTCTTTCTCGCCGCAAAAGTTTGGAGCAGGTCTGCTCGCAGGTCTGGAGTATAAGGTACCCACTGTGGTCAAAAAGTCGAGACAACAAACATGCCCTGGGCGGCATTGGCTCCCGCGGCTCGCACTCGCAATTAGACTTGTGCCAAGATCTTGTTTGAGAAACGAAAAGAGATAGAGTCAACCTTCACACCCTCTGGCCACGCATCTTGGAGGAAGTGATGCCTGCCCGCTGGAGGGGTAAGGTACCGTCCGACAACTCTGGCCAAGCCACGATTCATGCCGTCCCGGTCGTCGCCCCAAATCATATCTACTGATAACGAGCGTCGAGCGCCCAGCAAGCAACGGCTGGAGTCCTCCAACGTCATTCACATGGAGAGTGCGCAAGCCACAGCGTGCCGAGGAAAGCGAGCCACACTATCCTGGCACTGCTTGCTTACAGAGGCGGGCCTTTGTCTTGAGACATGACTTACGAACTCTAAGGCGTCTCGAGAATCTGATTCGCCATATAGCTGCTGGATGACTAGCCGTGAAATCTTGGTTCAGGAAATACTGTTAGCTTCGACTCGCCCGATTAGAAACGAAAAGGACAACGACCACAGAAGCTGGAACGCCGTCAGGTCCAACGTGTGTTCCAACGGGGTTTTTGGTTTTAGTGAATGCGTCTACCCTGTGACTGTCACCGGCTAGACGAGAGCTATGGTGCGGTTTAGACGGCCTGATGGTAGCTATTCATTGGATGACGGGCCCAAGATGAACGCGGGGAGGCCTGTTCGTAGTTGAGACTCTAGAGGAGTGCTGAATGGGTCAGCGTTTCATTCGAACGTTGGAGAATATGTCTGACGGGTCGGAGGGCCAGCTGACGGGGATGTACGGGAGAAAGGTGAAACCGTAAGGCGGAGAGAGCGCGGATGGTTGGCTGGCTGGTGAGCCACCACACATGTTGAATGGTGACGGGAGTAGTGTAGACATCGGATGATGGGCACGATAGCACGACAGGCAGCGTTGAGAGGAGGCAGTCAGTATCGAATGGCAAGCAGAAGCGGTATCCCAGCCGGTTGCCGCGTGAGGAGGCATTTGTTGGTTGACTTCCCACATGGAACGGAGCGGGGCGGTCTTTCACCGCATCTCGGGCGGCATCGCGGCGGTGGGGGATAAAACGAGCCGGACTGTAGCGCCGCTGCAGGTCCAAGCCGGTACGGGCAAGGTTCTGCTGCAGGAAGAATGGCAATTGGACGGCGGCGCCTCCAGCACCTGCAACGGGTACATACGCGTGGGTTCGTGTTGGTGATCCTCCATTTTTCAACCTTCTCAAGCCTTTCTTCTTCTTCTCCGTTGAACAGGCGACTAACGGCGTGCCATTGGATGTTCTGAATGGGCTAGCGGCATGGTGCTTGGGCCACAGTTTATGCTGTTATGCCTTTGCCGAGGAAGAGAATTTTCGCAGGATTGAAATGGTCATTGTGATGGTTTGCAGGGAAATACACATTCATGCCATGTGGGACGCGCGAACATGTCGTCGAGTGTACCACTATGTATGCCAACCGCCAAGAATAAAGCGGCTGCCATGAGTAAGGTACAGCCTTGTGTTGAATAGATGCCGTCGTGGGGATAGTACCAAGTATCGATATGTCTCGTCATTTTTTTCTCGAAGGACGCTCTCAATTGCCGACAAGCAACCGATGTACACGTTTTGAATTGTGGAATGTGGGAATCGACACGATTCAGGGTGTGTCGAGTGTCTTCGCCTGATGCGCTTGCGTAGACAATGCCGACTGTGGGAAGACTGAATTGGACATCAACGGGCGATGAGCCATATCCGTCGTCTCCCAGTCAGACATATCTCAGACTTGGTCGTTGCCCCTTGTTTGGAGGTTTCCGGGCTCCCTTGAAAGGGGTCGTCGGCCGATGGAAAGTGAAGAGCAAGGCCTGTTGTGGCTAGGATATGAACTTCCTCCTTCACGGGGACAAAGCGAGATATGTGGCGGACGCAGGCTAGGCCGTCAGCGGACCTCGATCCCCGCACAGGGCATACGCCGTGTGTTTTCTAGGGTCGTTTCTAGCGCGACTTTCTACTGCTGTTTGGGCTTGGCTTGGCTTGGGATTGCCGCAATGCCTACGGGCAAAGGAACATGCAACATCCTGGACGAGATAGGCGCGAGCGTGTGTCCCCGGTTCCCCTGGCGTACCTATCGCTGGGTGGACTATCCGCTGGTCTCTGCCATGACCCTTGCCCGCGGTATAGCGTCTGTGTCTCTCTCCCGTGGTCGTTCGCTCGTAGAACACCTACGGCACCGCACCGCATGGCACCGCACCGCACAGCACAGCTTAGCACAGAGACTGAGAGTGAATGGCAGGGTCGACAGGCAGAATATCTGTACAGATGCCTGGCAGACAGACGACGGGCCACGGGTGGCTGGAGTTCAGATGAGAATGGATGCAGAGGGCGGACGCCGGAGTTCCGTACTAGTTCAGATCTCCTATCTTGAGGTGCAATGAAGAGGAGTTCGTTTTCCTTCGAGATTGGGACGAGACGAGACGAGAAGAGACGAATACGGCGTGGGTTCTCGAGCAAGGTCATATAGGTGGTAAAAAAGAGGATACGAGCAACGAACAGTTGGGAGAGAGGGAAGGTGTTGGATGGTATGTACTGCGAATTGGAGCCGACTGAGAGGGGCAGACCAGGTTACGGTTTAGTAGACGGTAGACGGTAGACCCCAAAACAGAAGTCGACTCCGGTACATGGGAAATTGGTGGGAGATTGGGTTGACGACAGGTACCGGCCTGCCAGGCCGTTCCTGCCCTTGGCCTTGGCAGAGGGAAATCCACCTCGAAAGGTCAGGTTGCTAGGTCCGCCAGAGCTGTCGGTAAGGCAGGGTAAAGGTACCTTCCCTCCACGACAAGTATCTTGGGATGTATCCGTCCACGTACAGAATACCTCCACCTCTTTTGCGTCTAGAACCTCAGTAATCAGGCACTAGTCGCCGTCTTCCCCTTTGTGAGGTGACACGCCATTGCCATCGGCTGGTCTGTGCTTGATTTTGTTGGTGTCGGTGTCCGTTCACGATGCTCAAGCCGGTCAGGTACCTTAGCAAAAAGGGAAGGCAGAGCCAGTTGCTCAATGCTTTCCCTTTCGTAACCGTCTTCCTCAGGTACCCTATTCAACCAGTATTCGGACTGATCCAGATACGTACCACCGATCTGACGGACATTCAGAGATACCTTATTTCTATCCGCAACCCTTCACCATTCTGTACGGAACAAATACTAGACATGACGGAGGGAGGCCGGGAGGCAGCTCGGAGCGGCCGTACAGCTCTCATGCCATTTCCAATCTGGACCAATCCAAAGTTGAGCGCTCTGTAGATTGTGCTGCGTTTGATGATCGATATGTTAGGTTGTCGCGAAAGCCCGTTTGTGTTTATGCTCCCAATCTACCAATCTCCCAATCTTCTTCTCCGAGTTGTTCCAAAATTCCGAAAGTCCTCTTCCACTCACCATGTCTTTCGGCGCCGGGCCCCTCGTCCGTTGAAATTAGACATTAGATCCATTCCCTACCCCCTCGACAGACAGCCGCCCACACGTTCGTCGGTCGTGGCTCTTTTTTCCCTCGCTTCCCCCCTTCGACCGTCGTTGCTCACTTTACCAATCCTGGAAACTGGACTTGGGACCTGGACCTTGAACCCAGAACTGATCTGACCCCCCCATCGTTCATTGAATGTGAAGTGTGGGCCACGGTGAGCGTTGCAAGGCAGGTTTAGTTATTGAGAGGTTGAGGCGTCGCTTGTAATTTCACCTGGACCGTTGACGACACCGGCTGCACGGAATACGGAGTAGCATCTCACCTTTCTCGATCTATCTCTCCCTCTTTTTCTCTATCTTCCTCTCCTTCTTCTTTCCTTCCCCTTTCCTTCCCTCCTAGTCGCGCTCCTCTTCGCCTCGACAAGCCTCGATCGGAGACGATTCACCGGCACAATCCGACAACGGCGAGATACGACTCAGCCTTCGCACCGCCTCCCTGCTGTCGCCCCCCGAGACAAGACATTCCAACAACAACGGACGAATTAAAGCATTAGATTAGGCAGTCCGCCCACGACAAGAAATCAAATCAGCAGCACCGACAGAGAGGAGAGCCTGCGAATAGAGCAGGACAGGAATAGGTTGATCTCAGCCCAAAGGCAGAAACAGGAACATCCAGATCCTAGGTGAGTAAGAAAAACAGGGAGGCTGTGATGAGAGCCCACCCGCTGCTGCACAGCACAAGGCGGCATCCAACGAACGGATGGACGCCTCTGCACAAGCAACACCCGATCGGATTGTCCCCTGCACATTGCACAATGCACCCTTGCCTGGGCCATCACCGCCTGTGTCCGTACTCTCATTCTCCCGCCCCCCTTCTCTCTTGCCCTCAGCTTCGGCCTCAGGCCAAGGCTAGGCGATTCGTGTACTGGTCTTGCGCGCGCGCGTGCGTGTGTGTATACTGTGGTGTGGTGCGTGGTGAGTGTTGCTCTGTGTGGGTGTGTGGGTGAGAGGGAGAGAGACAGAGAGACCGGCCCGGCACCGAGCCAACAATTTCGCTGGGCGCTGGCTTGCACAGCACAACAGCAGCAACATGCCTGTGGAGGCACCACCAACGGCACCACCTCAACTCAATATTTTTATTTTGTTTTTATTTCTTTTCTGCTGCAGAGTACCTTACTGTACTCCGTGCTGCGTACCCGTACCCAACTCCCTCCCGTCTCCCTCTTCGCTCCATCTGCACTGCACCTCCAGGCTCCGGCACCACCCCAAGTTGCTCCTCAACCAGTTACCTACCACCTCACCTCACTCCGTACCCAGCGGCTACCTGCCAGTAACAGCCCTGGGAAGCCCCAAGCCCAGCAGCCCAGCCCGGTCCAGCCCATCCTTTTCCCGCCAGCTGCTTCGCACTCCCCGTGCAGTGCATGTGGTCCGGGGGGCGGATTACCCACTGAAATCACTCGTCTGCGGCTGCCATCCGTCCACTTGCCCCAAATTTCCATCCATTCTCTCCCAGTCCTCCCCCATTCATCCTTTCCTTTCCTGAAATCCTCTTCCAAGCAACCACAACCACGCAACCACCCCCTTCCCGTCCTCTCGGCCTGATTTCGCCTCCCCGAAACCAAGTCAGCTCAAATGGGCATCGGGATAACGAGCAGCTAGCTGACCTGCGACCCTCATCGTCCTTTTAGACATATCGTCCATTTTTTTTCCACCTTCATACACCAACCCCCGATCGACTCCATCAGACCGCCTCGACCGACAACCGACACGATTGAACCGAGCATCCAGGCCCTGCCTTTGCCCCGACACTACGGTCCGTAAGAGGACGTAGGCCTTCGACGCAATGGCTTCCTCATCGAGCAACGTCGTCGGCGTGCACTACCGTGTGGGAAAGAAGATTGGAGAGGGATCTTTCGGTGTCATTTTCGAGGGCACCAACCTCCTGAATAACCAACAGGTCGCCATCAAATTTGTACGTCGCCGACTTCACTCAATCAGATACCGCGTCGTTCAAGGGCGTCGCGGTCGCTCAACATTGCGTCAACATCGTGCTAATATTCTCTCTCGTCGTAGGAGCCGCGTAAAAGCGACGCACCTCAATTGCGAGATGAGTACCGGACGTACAAGATTCTCGTCGGATGCCGTATGTCCATACCACAATCTTTCGCTCGATGGCATTACTGACTGTTTTGAAGCTGGCATTCCCAACGTCTACTACTTCGGACAGGAGGGTCTGCACAACATCCTCGTGATCGACCTTCTTGGTCCCTCCCTTGAGGATCTCTTCGACCACTGCGGCCGAAGGTTCACCATCAAGACCGTCGTCATGGTTGCCAAGCAGATGGTGAGTTACGGCCAGCCTTATCATAATGTCAATCGACTAACGAATGATACAGCTGTCGAGAGTGCAAACCATTCACGAGAAGAACCTCATCTACCGTGACATCAAGCCCGACAACTTCCTGATCGGCAGACCGGGCACCAAAGCCGCCAACGTGATTCACGTTGTCGATTTTGGCATGGCCAAGCAGTACCGCGATCCTAAGACGAAGCAGCACATCCCTTACAGAGAGCGAAAGTCGCTGTCCGGTACCGCCCGATACATGAGTATCAACACCCATCTCGGTCGTGAACAATCCCGCCGTGATGATCTCGAGGCTCTCGGTCACGTCTTTATGTACTTCCTTCGTGGCGGGCTTCCCTGGCAAGGACTGAAGGCTGCAACAAACAAGCAGAAGTACGAGAAGATTGGTGAGAAGAAGCAGACCACCCCTATCAAGGACCTCTGCGAAGGATTTCCCGATGAGTTCAACAAGTACTTGACCTACGTACGGAATCTCGGTTTCGAGGACACCCCCGACTACGAC